GAGCTTTCTACCCGCAGAGTGGGACTGTACCATCACAAGAGGAAAGAATTTATCACTCATGAGTTACCAGCCACCAGGAAGCCATGGGCCTGACTCAACTTGCTTAAAAACCAGTAACTTTAGAGGATGAGATTTTGGTAACGGCCAAACAGCCCCACTGCCATTTTCCTATGCCATCTCCCTTAACAAACAATGGAAGGACTTCCAGCACTGCAGGGACTTCTCTGCAATTAACCACAAGTGTTATGGTGTGGACAGAGGAGGATTTTTTTTTTATATATATATATTCTACTAGAAACTACATCAAGAAGGTGCAGGTTTCTTTAAGGCTTGTCAGCTGTTATTCATGCTTCCCTCAGTGAAAGTGAAGCTGCTGGGTAAACAATATGTTTAAAGCTTCGTACTTCTGCTTACGTTATATTTCTGCTTTGCATTTTAATTTTGAAGCTTTGAAAGCTTCTCATTTTGGCCCTTCAGCAAGAAGACTCCCTGATAATAACCTTTAATGACACTCTTAATGGCTACACCCAGGGAGCTGTTCTGCCCCATGCACAGAACCCAGGCCTTCAGGTCAGTGCAGGACAGGGTTCACTGCGTGGCTGTTGCTTCTAGTTACTTTTGTGAACAAAAAGCTAGAATGGCATTGCTGAGGTTTTAAAGAAAATGAGCTGTGGGAGTAAAAGAATGCTGAATCTCTCTTACCTTACTTTGTAAAGTGAAGTTTGTTCTTCAGGACTTCTTAAAAACAGGCTGCAGTGACAAACCTAGACCTGTTTCCAAATAGAGGAAGACTGGTACTGCTGAACACTCTCATTGTGGCTAATGAACAGATAGTGAAGTTCCTCTGTCAAATGTTTTTCCAGTTTTGTTTTAATAATGTAAACAAAATAAGATCTGTACTTTTCTGAAGCTCCAACTGTGCCTGCTGCTCTGTGGCTCAAGATGAACTCTGGGGCAGTCCCTTTTTCAGCAGGGATGTGAGATAGCTGCCTAGTTCTTCATCCTATAGAAAAGAAAATCAGGATGAAAGTGATTGTCCACTTGACTCTTTCCCATTTCTGCTACCTAGAAATAGGCTAAAATAACTCTTGGATGCAACAGCAGCAGTGTTCAAAAATGGAAATGAATGCAGTTAGCACAAATGTGTTCTTAGGTGTTCTCTCAAAATACCAGCTTGTGGTTGTCAAATGAGGTGTCTGGATCTCTTGAGTTCTCTCTTTTAGAATAAATGATTATTTTTCTTGAAAGCAAAGAATGAAGATCCGTTGAATTTTTTTTTTTTTTGTTCTGCTTTCAAGAAGGCAGTTCCTCGCTATAAAAAAAAGCATTCAAAATGCAGCTATAAGAAGTATATTCTTGAGGAAAATAACTATCTAATCTTAGCACAACTTTGTCTTAATGAACTTTCTGGTTGCAGGGTGAAGTTTTATTCCTACTTCATAAAATATGCCCACCCTCTGTTGCTACCCTGCAGGCCTGTTTTGGATTGTAAGATGTTAAGACCAATTAGAATTACTTAAAATGTATGTTTTCAAGTATTCCTACCTGGTAAGTCCAGGATACGAGCAGAACTTTGGTTCCTTGATCCTCTGAGTGTGCTGTGGCTTGGATAAGGATGGACTCTACTGTTATAGAACCATCAGGGAGATGCTGTACTGAGTAATCCTTCAGGACCCTGGAGAGACAGAAGGTATTAAATTTATTTTGGAGGGGACTGCACTAGCTTGGCCAGGACCATGAGTGCATCTGCTGATTAGGAACCCCTGCTGCTGATCTACAACTGCTCCTATGGTTACAGTAGCTAGAAAGATTGACATCTAGAGCAGTTACTGTCTTTGGAGATGCAGGAAATTTTCTTTATTCCGTGCTATCAATCTGGAAGGGCTGCCTCTATTAAGAATGATGCAATCATTCAGCCCAAGGGGAAAAACCAGCCAAATGCAGCCAAGAAATGGCTTACCCTTTGAGATGGTTGTACACACGGAGCACAGTCTCGTGTTCTTTCCTCGGGTCCTGAATGTGAACACGGCAGGTGAAGCGCAGCTGATGTTCTGCAAGGCCCAGCTCCTTCAGGGCCTGCTCAGGAGAAACCAGGCGGAAGCTCTGCAGAGGAAGAGTGCAAACTCACTAGGAACTATTTCCTTGTGCACACTGAGGTTTTATTTCCCCTCTGTAGCCCCTAAGCGTTACTTACGTTATCCTTCATAATCAGCGTGCCATGCATAAGCTTTGGCTTCTTGGCATCTGGTAAGAGACCTAAGCCAAGGGAAGAGAAAGACAACAGGGTTAATGATACTGTGTTTATGTGTTACACACCTAAGACAACTGCTCTAGGACTCAATGGATTTCCAAGTCTCAGCTGAGGCCTGCAGACTATGACATCTTAGTTCATCTATGCCTTAAAACAAAGCACACGGTGTTTAAGTCACTGCTGGGGCTCCAGACATCTCTCTCTTCCCATATCATTTCCTGATATGAGAAGCTTTAAGATTTTTCTTACATTGAATTTATTAAAGTAATTTCAGTCCTCAACAGCAAAAGCACACTTGAACTTCATTTTCACAGCAAATGGGCAATGAAAAGCAAGCAAGATAACTTTGTGCCTCTTTTTTTTGTTGTTGTTTTTAACACTGTTGAACACCCACCCCAGCACAGTACCTACCTCACTTCACAGAAGCCCCTCTCACCCACTCAAAACACTGTACAACCTGTTCTTACACAGGAGGGACTGCTAAAATAGCCCTGCAATGCTCTTTCCACCTAATTCACGTGCTAAAATTGCAATCCAGGGGCAGGACCCCAAATATGTAACTCTTGGTTGAAAAATGTGTCACCTATTGCTGTTTCTCTCTTCAAGAGTCCCAGGGAAATGTCTACTGGAATGCTGGGATTGGTAAATATAGTTGTGGTCTCTCCATTTGCAGGCATGTAACAGTTGACATCTGCAGTGTAAAGAAACAATGTTAGGACTGGTGCAGCACTCTGATGCCCATAACAAAGTACTGAAAAGTAAACAGCCACCCAGCGTGTGTTCTCTGCTTTCTCTACTCATCTTTTAAGTCAGGAATTATTTTTTCCCACCCCATCTGGATCTCATTCCCCACAATTAATGTTGCTAAATTAACATTTCTGATACACGCCTGCCTCTGCTGTTTCTAAGTCTGAAGAAATACAAATGCAGTAAATGCTGAACCAGAACAATGCAAATGAAACATCACAATCACAATGTACCATCACTTGAAGCCTAATGGACATTAAAATTAAATGGGCTTAATATGTCAGTATACACTACAGATACCGATTTCTTGAGGCTGACAGGTTCTGTAGATCACACTATTCCTAACTCTAAACTGATTACCAGTAAATTAATTATGTAAACGTACAGCTTTCCTTCTTCTTTCTACTGTTTTCAGTACCAAAAGTGTACGTACGAAATTCCTGCTCTATTTTCTGCTTCAGAAACTCCATTTTCTTTGCTTCCCCGTGGACCAGCAGGACATTGCGTGGCTCAGCCTGGCGAATCAGCTGCATGATTCCCTTGGCATCAGCGTGGGCACTGAAGGACATGTACTCCACCTGCATCTTCACTTCCAGCTGCAAGAGGAGGGGTGGGGAGCAGAGGTGCTGTGAATCAGGAGCCACTTTGCCTTGTATACCATGTGCAAACTGACTGAGACCTCTCCATATTTTCTTTAAAGAAGAACATTTAGATTGGGAACACTTGATCTCTGCAACCTAATTTCCCAATCCAAGTGTTCTATGCCCTTGGAATGGGAAATTCAGGTGAGGAGGAAGCTGCTTGACAGCAGAGGTGAAATACATCGATATTCAGAAAAGCTCCCAATAACTCAGAGTCAAATTGCATTTTCAGAGCACAGTTCCTTCCACACATCTGCCAAAACACATCAACACTTCAGTACGCTCAGGATCAGCTTCAATATCCCCTTCAGTGTGAAACTGTATCACTGCTACCTGACTGACAGGGTCTACTTATCAAACGAAGTCATTAATACTCTTCTGACAAAAACCATGGGCTACAGAATGGCTGAGAAGACACACTATTGCCAGAGCAATGACAAAACAGCCTGGTTCCAGTCTGAATTGAAACGTTACTCAGGTATTTCCCATGTTACATGCAGCATATTCCCCTATAGATATATAGATATAGAAAACATATGGTGTCTAATTGCCACCTAAAGTCCCAAAAATCTTCCCCCAAACAATCCTCATTGAAAATAAAACTTACTATTTGTCTTCCCTCCATTTCCAGCTTGCGTTGTCCACTCAGAATCTTATGGCCCACCGTTCCCTGCACGCAGTAGCCTGGCATGATGACCTGAGAAAGAAACCAGGATCATTTAGCCCCACACACTTAGAAAAACCTTTGTTCTTACAATGGTATCTGTAACACTATCACATTAATACAAAATATCACTTAGGAAACAGAATTTCTTACCATATTCTTTTCATTCCCTGCCCATTTCCTGAAGATCTGCAGGGACTGCCCTGCGTGAAGCATACCAGGTGTTGCAAATACAACCTAGAATTCAAAGATGTGTCAAAAATAACAGCAGAAAAAGTGTGTGTTTATTTAAAATATCATTACATATAAATTTCCTAAAACTGTGAAGAGAATCCACTAAATACACGTTACAGCACGCTTACTACAACAAGACTGTAATGCAGCCTCAACTGTTAATGTCAGCCTACCATTGGTCCTGGATTATCTGCAAAGGCTCTATCAAATGCTTTGATGTGTTTGAACTCAAACATGTTTCTCTGCACAAACGTCTTCCGGATTTTCTGATTAGTCCATGTGATGAAGAGCTTGTAATAGTGATTAGCCTTCTCTGTCAGACCAGTGGAAAAATAAATTGGAGCTTTCAAGTTCATTCTTTCCCTGGAGAAAGAAGAGATCCAGACACAGGTGAGGAACAAATTATTATCTTAGCTCTCTGTGCTCAAAGTCCATGAACCTCTGTAGTTTCCAAAGATTTCTGGGCACAACACGCTCTCAGGAAACCATCAGTCAATATGATGACAATCCTGTATCATTATGCATTTACTCTGGTATTACCAGAAACATTTCCATACGATGCTTATAGAAAAGTTGAACGCTTTTTTTTTTTCCCTCTTTCTTCCCTTTCACATAAAAACAGTTTCACAATGTGGCAAAGATGCCATCAAACTACTGCTGGTACCAAGTGCCTGGGGAAGGAGGAGAGAATGGCCCTAGAGAGGAACACGTTCAGTTTACTGCCTAGAGTCAGAAACACTGATAAATAAGTGATACGTGGAAAGAAGCACTTCTCACATGGCACTATGGGCCAACGTGCAGAGGAAAACTAAGGAGAGTATTTGTACCAAATAGAAAAGAATTGTAGAAACCTTGAGGACATCCACGTGAAGAGGACAAGGGGGAGGAACATGCACCAAAGAGACTGCACTCACCAGAATGTTTCCAGTAAAATACAAAGTTCCTGGGCACGACCAAGGGCAAAAACTGGGATAAGAACCTGCAACAGAGACATGATTTAGTCTGTGAAACCTGAAGAGCACATAGATAGCACTGCAGCATTACCACTGCTCAACAAGAGCTTCACAGAGAGCAGAAAACACATCACTTGGATCATCAGAGTGCTCTACCTTTCCTCCTCGTTCCACAGTCTCATGAACTTTCTTCAGGAAGTCTCTTTCTCTGCAGCGTTTGGAGTCTCTGATAGTTGTGGCATAGGTGGATTCTGTTATTAATAAATCGGGGCGACACTTATCAATCCAGGCAGCACTGAAACAAAAGGATTCTTTAATAAATCATCAAATCAAGAGCAAGCATCCAACACTTCTCTCCAGGTCTCAGCTGCAGAATGTCACTATGTAAAAGGTAGAATTTAACCCTGCTCAGAATAGAGACCAATTCCATGAATTTTGAAAAGCAATTTTTCAGTCTGTTATTTGTTTAATTTTTTAATGCTTTCTAAGCATTGTGAATGTTAAAAAACTCTTACAGCCAGCAAAAAGAAAAGCAGTGTTAAAGGTGGTGACTGGCACTCTCTTAAAAAGCAAATGCTTGTGGAAGATACCACAACAATAATGCATTTCAAACATCTAAATCCAATTACCACACAGCCTTAAAAATGGATTAATATGAGTACAGAAAAAGATTACATTAAGGTCTGTCCTGGGGACTCAATTTGACTCTGATCCTCCTCGTAATTCACACTTGCATTTATCTTTACTGGAAAGACATCATTAAGCATCCCAGCCTCTCATCAAAGAATAAAGAATCAATGCTGGTAAGCTCCTATATATTAACAGAAGTTGTGGTAAAATTGCCCTGCTTGAAATAAATAACAGTTCACAGAAACTCAGCTTCCTACTTACCCTAGATGTCTGTCTGGTGTCATGTTATAATCACCCTAAGAGAGGAAGGGAAATCCATTTATTTTCTTGAGCTAATGGAACAGGCTATTAAAAGGAAATGTAGGCATCTGTAACTGCTGCTGTGCATACTTACAGTGTACACAACCGACTCACATCCAACCTTGATCTGGAACATGGCTGCTCCCAGCACGTGGCCTGCATAGTATGCCTTGATCTCCAGCTCCTCATCCACCTGCACACATGCAAACACCATGGTAAGCACTTCACAAACAGAAAACTGCTCTGCCTTCCACAACAGTTCAGTAGGTCCAATCCAAGCCTATGCAGAAACGGTCATTTACCTGAACTGTCTGATGAAGATGCACAGCAACCACTTTTTTCATGCAGTCTTTAATCATCTGGGACGTGAAGAAGTTGGTTTCCCCTTTCTTATCTACAGTTATTTTCCTGTAGTCTTCCAGGAGAATAGGACAGATGGCCTTGGTAGGATGTGTCATATAAATGGGCCCATCGTAGCCAACCATTTCACTGAAATAGGGGAGAGCTCCACAATGGTCCAAATGGAAGTGGCTACAAAAGAGACAGAAAGGATAAAGACATTAAACAGCAACTTAAGATGTCTGGTTCTCACAGCTTGCTTCACCTCTACAAAGCACTCCACAAAACAGAAGAACTTTTTTTTCCCCGTTAGAAACAAAACTTGCCTACTTCCCGTTTCAGTTGTGATCAGGAAGGAAGCTTTCTCACCTGATGATCACGCAGTCTAGAAAGTCAGTCAGCCTCCCATTCTGAGTAATGTAGGAAAAGTCAGGAAAGCGCCTCTGCAAAGAGTTGAAGTGCAGGTTACCAACCCAAAACAAAGCCACTTAGTGCTACATCATTAACTGGAGGGACCACCAGCAGGAACCACCTGCTACATTGGATGCTGTAAACCATCTCAAGGCAAGACTGAGCTGCTCTCAGCAACACAGTAAGAGCTACAGGCAACGTCATGGATACTCACCTGCAGGAAGAGTCAGAAGGAAAAAGGATGAGCTCCCCTACAGGCTGAGGGAGCAGGGCTTGTTCAGCCTGGAGAAGAGAAAGCTGCGAGGAGACCCTATTGAAGCCTTCCAGTGTTTAAAATGGGATTATAAAAAGGAGAAGAATCAACTTTATACAAGGGTAGATAGCAATAAGACAGGAGGAATGGTTTTAAAGTTGAGGAGGGAAGGTTTAGATTGGATGTCAGGGGGAAAGTCTTCACAGAGAGAGTGCTGAGGTGCTGGAACGGGCTGCCCAGAGAGGCTGTGGATGCTCTGGAGGTGTTAAGACCAGGCTGGATGGAGTTCTGGGCAACCTGGTCTAGTATTAAATGCAGAGCTTGGTGGCTCTGTTTGTGGCAGGGGGTTGGAACGAGATGATCCTTAGACTCCCTTCCAACCCGAGCCGCGCTACGATTCTACGTGAGGACAACCAGCGGCGCCAACAAACAGATGAACCGCGTTCTCCTCCCTGCCGTACTCACATCGTCGTTGTAACCCATGTGCATCCCGCAGTCCAGCATCACGTTCTTCCCCGCGATGGACACCAGGATGCAGCTGCGCCCCACGTCCTGCCCGGCGCCTGCAGCGAGTCAAGGGGGCGCCATAACGCGGCGGCTCCGCAACGCTCGGCGCGGACCCACAGCGGGGGGCCGAAGGCGGGACTTACCGAGCGGCGTCACCTTGATTTCGGGCATTTTAACCCCTTCCAACCCCCCTCGAAGCTCAAAGCGCGGCGGGGTTCTTCTGGAAACGACCTACGAGGCGGCGCGGCCCGGAAGTGCGGTTATTTTAACGGTCATATCGCAGGCTACAGGACCATTCTCAAATAGAAAGAAGAGGTTTAGCTTCGATCTGGATGAAAAGCGTTCCGAACGCAGCCCTCACAACAGCGAGGCCCGCAGCCGCAGGCGGACGCCGCTCCGTCGGTGCCGCCCCGCTCCCGCCCTTCTCCTCAGCGTCCCGCGCATGCGCGGTTCCTCCCGCCGGCAAGATGGCGGCGGCGCCGGGCGCCTTCAGCCTGAGGGAGGTGCTGGCCGCCTTCCAGGCGTGCGTGACGGAGCAGCGCGAGGTGCTGCTGGGCCCGTACCTCCAAGGATGGAGGGGACTCGTGCGGTGAGTGCGTTATGAACGTGAGCGAGAGGGTCAGCAGGAGCAGGGAGGCGATCGTCCCTCTGTAGTCGGCAATGGTGAGGACGCGGCTCGAGTCGTTGCGTTCAGTTTTGGGCCACTCGCTACGAAAAAAAGACATTGAGGCCATGGAGCGTGTCGAGAGAAGGGCAGTGGAACTGGTGAGGGGTGCGGAGCGCGAATCTTACAGGGAGAGGCTGAGGGAGATGGGATTGTTGAGTGTGGAGAAGAGGAGGCTCGGGGGAGACCTCAGTGCACTCTATGATTACCTGAAGGGAGGCTGTGGTGAGGAGGGGTTTGGCCTCTTCTCCCAGGCAACGACCAGGACCTGAGGAAATGGCCACAAGTTGTACCAGAGGAGGTTCAGGTTGGACACGAGGAAGAGCTTTTTCTCTCAGAGTGGTCAGGCACTGCAATGGCTGCACAGGGAGGTGGTGGAGTCGCCGTCCCTGGCAGCGTTCAGGAGGCGTCTGGATGAGGAGCTACAAGGTATGGTTTAGTTTGCAATGGCAATGGGAGGACGATAGGACTAGATGATCTTGTTTCCAACCTTGTGATTCTATGACACACACCTGGTGGCTTCCGCTTTCTATACATTCCATTTATCCCTTCAGCTTCCTGAACGGCTTGGGCGCCATCTTCTCCTTCATCTCCAAGGACGCGGTGACCAAAATCCAGATCATGGAGAGCTACTGCAGCGGGGAGCGGCGGGAGGAGTACCGCACTCTGCAGTCCATGGTGAGCTACGAGCTGAGCAGAGGGCTGGTCGACCTGCAACGGCGATCGTCCCACCCCGACTCAGGCTGCAGGACCATTCTGCGGCTGCACCGTGCCCTGCGTTGGCTGCAGCTGTTCCTAGAAGGGCTGCGCACCGCCCGGCAGGATGCCAGCACGTCAGCCATCTGCACGGACAGCTACAACGCCTCGCTGGCTGCTTATCACCCCTGGGTCGTCCGCAAGGCAGCCGTCGTGGCATTCTGTGCACTGCCGTCACGCGACGCCTTCCTGGAGGTGATGAACGTGGGAGGCCCTGAGGAGGCTGTGGAGATGCTGGGCGATGCTCTGCCCCACATCCGTGATGTTTACGGCATCACGCAGGAGCTGTATGAGCAGCACTGCCTGCTCAACCTGCCCTGAGCACATCTCCATTCCCTTCTTTGTACCCACACAGAGCTGATGGAGCTCAGCTGTGGTCTGATGACAGAAATGAAATGCACTAAAATACATACAGTACTATACATATATCATCACCCCAGCTCTACAGGGAGGAAAAGTGTCCACAAGCACAGTCAGGGGAGTGCTTCTCTCCCCCAGGCTCCAGTGTGAGGCTCTGGGGTCTTGCTAAGTCAAACTGCACCTTCAGCACTTAAACCACTGGAAGGTGACAGCACCAAAGGCTGTAGGTAACTCCCTTACACCAGATATCTCAACACCTGCACCTTAAGCTCACTTGGCCACTTTGTTTACAAGCTGTTCCCTTGGAGTTGCTGCTTTTTCCCCCCCACTCTGCTTTAGCACTCAAAATAGAATCCTGGGTAACATGTCTGGTGACCTTGTGGTCACCAGGAGACTGTTCCTTTCCATGTGGATCCATCCTGCAGGGCTTTGCTCATTGTTTCTTCTGTCCTTTGTGTGTCTTGGGGCGTGGACCAGTTCTTCCCATATCCTACATAGCACTACATACCCAGCTAAGGCAGCTAACTGTATTTCTTCTCTTGAAGCCTTGCTTCTAAATGGTTATTTGTTGTTTATTTTTAATGAATGTGTCAAATGCCTACAAAATTAACTTCTCTAACTACAATCACTGCATACGAGAGCTAGTATCTATATATGAAGTATGTAAAATTGAGTTTACTTAGTTTCTTCAGAGCTGAAAAAGCACAACTCTGTTACTTCAGGAAGAATGAGTGGCTGGGGAGAATCCCACAGACCATCACCTTTTGGTTTCCTCTCAACTAAGAGTCACTTTGGCTTGAAGTAACACTGCATGATTCAGGAAATCACTATTACCTCACTGGGATCAGTCAGCTGGGCACTACATTACATGATTAACAAGCTGCTAGAGAGTATCCCTTATAGGAATGCTTTCTTTTCTTGCGGTGTTGGAAGAAAGATGAGTTACAGTGTTATCTGTTCATCTCTGTCTTTCACCAGCAGTCTCTCATTCACTGACCCACTGATCAGGTGTGAAACCAACATCAGGAGTAACCCAGATGGAGTACTGAGAATTTGCCTGTACATCCTAAATGGGGGAATGGCTGCTATGCTGTAAAGACAAATACTCTCTTTCTGCCAAAGCCACTTCAAAAATAACACAGTTCCATAGAATAAATCCATGTATTAAAATGGAGCAGCTCCATGATATAAGCTACAAAATACCTCCTGCTGTGCTCGCTCTGTGATTACAGATGGTGCTGCTATTTCAGCTGGTGAAGTGTGTTAAATGCCTTAAATTATGTCAAATAATCTGTGTCAAATGAAGGTATATTTGATCTCTTGTGGATTTAATGCAGGAATGGCACTGTCACATTTAGTCTCAGCCATTCCTCGTTGGAGGCAAGCATTACTGTTGAAAATGAAGTTCTGCAATTAAAGAATCAAAGTTTCTCTGCAGGGAAAAGCTCTGTTGTGCATTCATTACCAATAATTCTGTGCAATGTGTGCTTCAAGTGAAATGCAGTTTTCTATCAGTCTGCATTTTCTCATTTGAACAAGGTATCACCTAATGGAAACAGCTTTCTCTTACGGTTCCTAGGAAACATCCTTGCTTCTAAATGACAGGAGCCTTTTGAGCTGCCCCAGCTCATTGACACACAGTATAACTCAGGTCCTGAACTTGGATCCGACCCGGTTCAGAGGTTCTGCTGTCACTGACACAGCCACATCCAGAAGTAAAAGAACCCTTCACCTACAGTGAGTTCTATCCTTGAAAGCTGCAACAACACGCAGCTTCACTAGAGGGAGCCTGAATGTTTTGCACAAAGTCCATCACACAAACCATCTCCTATCCCAAAGCAAGCCGCCTGGATTTCACCTGGAAGAATAACTGCTTACCAGCACCTCCTATATTATTCAGAGCTCCGTGCAGCTAAATTTCCACTACAGGCTTTTAAAGTGAAATCTGATCATTAAAATTTAATTTTAAGCTTTAAATATTCCACTTAGAGGTTAGGGTAAGGGTATCCTCAAGATATATAACTATACAATGTGCCCAACTTTCTAAGATGCAGAACAAAGATCACCCTTGTATCACTTCGGAGGTATACAAGCAATTTCTGTGATATGGTACAAAAGTAAGTCAGTGAAATGCAGTAAAATGATTTTTTTCCACTTCAGAGCTTTCCCTTAGAAAGACATGCAAAGCATGAAGGAACTTAAATTACTGTCTTGGGGAACTGGTACCTGTGTCATTAAGCTGAAGTTAATGTCAAAGCTCAGTGGGAGAAATAATTAGAT